GACCTTGGAGCTGCATCTGCAGTAGTCTTGGACACGGGGCACTCCAGATGTTCACAGATGTTGCTTTTCTTGGAAATAGTGGGGTGACTTGGAGGACACTGTTGGGGACCGCTTTCCCCAGAGACCTCCCAGGTGTAGCCGACTCTTCTGCCTTCCATTTGCGCATTGGTTTCATTTATTACCTGTTTTCTGAATAAACGTCAATGCCCCGATTGACATATGATGGCAAGTGAACATAGCCCTGCCCAAGGGACTTGTCCTGGCACAGGGAATTGGCATTGGGGCTCATGCTCAGAGCAGCGGGGCTGAGTAGGAAGGTCTAGCGGTCTGATGAAGCCCGGTTTTTAGTCCTGGCTGGTCCCCACTGATTTTTAAAACCACTTTTAACAATAACTCTCTGAAGATGAACAGATGGTTCTAGGAAACACCTGGTGTTGTGTGGGGTAGCTCACATCTCCAATCCCTGTACTCGTGAGGCCGAGGCAGGAGGATCATGAGTTTGAGCAAACCTGGGGTATATTGTAGTCAGACCCGGGCTCGAAAATGGACAAAGAAACAGACAAAAAAACCAAATCAAAACAAATAAGAAGACTTGGCACTTGTAAAGTACTATAAAAGAATATTGTGAAGAAACTCAGAAGCCACGCATGGGTTCTCTCATGCGGCTGTGCCTAACAAAGACCCTGTCGGATGGCTGCTTAGTCCTAGATTAGAGGCTGAAGTACTTACAAGATTCTAGAAGCAGCCCCAGGAGGTCAGTGCTCTAGGTAGAGTTAGAGTGTGGTGCCCGTTCAGAACGGGAAAAGGGGTCTCCGGGTACTAAAGATCCACCCGGTGCCGGACTGGACATGCGCACACGCCCCGCCTGTGTGTCAGAATAACCAGACCAGCATTCCTCTCCGTTCACACTCTGGAGTTAGGAAGCTTCGACTGAAGTGTTACAGGCAACATCTGTATTCCAGTGATACTGCTCGGATTATTGAGATTTCCCTAATACTCTGAATCAGAAACTGTCTCTAGGGGGCCTAGGTCAGTTTTCTTGTCTTGTCTCCCCTGCAGGATTTGGTGACCCTACCCCAAAGGCCGGAATGACATTGCTAGTTGTAGTTAATCCCACCTGGTTCATAAATTCTTTACTCCTGTGGACTGATTTTCTCTTCTCATCCAGCCTCCTCCTCCTCCTCCTCCTCCTCCTCCTCCTCCTCCTCCTCCTCCTCCTCCTCCTCCTCCTCCAGGAGACATTCATCTCCTATCGCATTGCTTAGGAGCTCTTATCTCTTATGTCCTCACTCAGAAATGTGCACAGCCCCCCCCCCCCCTCCCCGAGCATTTGTTTTGGCGTGATAATCCCTGTGTATTGAAAGCCTTATAGCAGTGCAGAAGGTAGGCATGGTCATCATCCCCACTTTGTAGACAGGAAAGCTGGCATGTGGAGAAACTAAACAACTGGCCCCAAATCTCAGTCGGTACAGAGTGACTCTCAACTTGCTGCCAATCACCAGCCTGTTCTGGAGGAACTGAGGCAGGCGTTCAGAGCCATCCAAAGTGTGTATGCTTCTCTCCAGCCTTCCCTTAGGAAGCTCTATCCTAAGGGCATTGCATGCACTTTACAGGAAGTACTTTTTCATCCCATTTTACAGATGAGCGGCTTGAGGCATGGAGAAATGAAGTAATTGCTAGAGTCACATGGTTAGAAGCCAGTGGAAGCCAGGGCCAATCAGCAGCGATCTCCCTGGAAGCCCGTGCTCGCTCACGGTTGCTGAGGTGCTGCTTCCCAGTTTGATTTCTTCAATTAACATTTGACTACTATTCTAAGTAATATTTTTGTCATTTGTTTTAATCAGGGAAGGAGACTGTTCCAAAGGGTGTTTTCCAGAGTGGTTAGTGCACTCACTCACCCTCGCTGGAGGGAAGGCACACTGAAGAGAGAGACTAGCTCTTCTGCCCCAGGGGGACAGTTGAGGAGGTGCTGTAGCCTCTAGATGTATAGAGAAGGAAAATCGTGCCCTGCCTCCTCTTGCCCTAGAGAACAGTGCATACCCTCCGTTCCCTTGAAGCTGTAGAAACCAGCTTGGAACAGATGTGGCGGTATCCATTGGTGTGAAGCAACTGAGTGTCTGGTTCCAGCCTGGACAAGTCTCCTTCTGGCTTATCAAGGTGGGGAGGGAGTTCACCTCCACGGAGAGATCTGTCTTCAGTCTATTTCTTCTTGCACACCCCCCCCCCCAAGGGAAGTTGAATATGATCTATTTTTTACATACTGGAGAACCTTTTGTGTGCTTTGGTGTTTTGAAACAAGAGTCTCACTATGAAGCCCAGTTACCTTTGGACTTTTGATATTTCTTTATCTTTTGGGGGTTATAGGCGTGTGCTTCTATACCCAGCTTTTGTATGTATGTATGTGTGTGTGTGTTTGTATGTGTATATGCGTGTCATGCACATGTGTGTCCAATGTGTGTGCGAGCGTGTGCGCATCTGCTCACATGTGTGAGCGCACTTGTAGGCCTCAATTAGACATCGTGTGTCTTCCTTCATCACTCACCTTATTTTCCGAGGCAGGGGCTCTCAGTGAGTCTGCAGTGAGTCTCACTGACCAGCTGAACTGGCCGGCCAGCAGTTTCAGAGATTGGCCAGTCTCCTGTCCTTGCTCTAGGTTGCAGGTATACCCCACCATGCCCAGCCTTTGTGTGAGCGCTGAGGATCTGAACTCAGTTCCCAGGCTTACCCAGCAGGCATTTTCCTGGCTGAGATGGCCCCCCTTTGATGTGACAAAGTCTTTCCTTATAGCTTAGGCTAGCCTCGAAATCACTGGATAGCCTAGGGTGATTTTGAACTTACTGCGATTACAGCCATTTGCTACTCTGCCCGGCAAGCATCATTTACATACAATAAAAATATTCATATGAAGAGGCTGGTTTGATGCATTTTGACAGATCGAGACTCATGCAGCCACTAGCCCAGACAAGCGAATCCTTCCCAGTGAACTCTCTTGCCTGCTCTGCTCTGTCTCTTCTGTTCCCATAGATGAGTCTAGCTTTGCTTGGGCTTTATATAAATGAAGTCACGCAGCTATATTTGGTTGTGTCTGGCTGCTTTGTGGAATCCTCCTTAAAAATAAAAAGGAATGAACCACCGTCACATACACGGCAGGATGCATGTCCCAGAGAACCGTGCCGGGAAGTTTGCAGGGTTCGTTTTCTTCAGGTGACCTTCCCAGTCATAGTAACCAAAATGACTGGCAGATCCTTCTCTGTGCCCATCACAGAACACAGCTGACATCCGTTTTCTCCTCTGTTCTCTTGTAATTAAAACAGTTCACCTTTAGGGTATGATCGCTTTATGCTTAACCTGTGGGTGATCGTCATGACGACTTTTTTAAAGGAAGTGAAAATTACACAACGGTGTTCTTAGAAAGGTGGCGGTCGGACATGTTACGCCATGTCTCGAAAAGGAGGACGGAGGCAGATCCGCCCTCTCAGGGTGGCTGTCCAGCAGGCCGAGGATGCTCATTTCGCGTCTCCTCTGTGCTGCGTGCTGTGCACTTTTCATTGTCACGGGAGGAGACGTTAAGGAAGCTATCCCCCATGAAAAACAGCTTTTCTTGGCAGGGGAAGGAGGGCTCCAGGAGCCAGAACTGGAGACATAAGGCACCATGAATGAGAGTCGTGCTGCCTAGCTGGGGCCGGGTCCAGGCACTATTTATACTGTAGCATATTCAGGAGCAGATTGTTAAGTCTTAATACTGCAACAGTGTATCATTTTAATATTTTTGTTCTGCTTCCTCCCTGTTTTCAAGCATTATGTCAGGCATTGCGCGTTCATTTCTTTCTGTCTTGGACAGGACGTGGCCCTCACCAGGAAGGTCATTTCCAACCCTTAGAGTTTTGTCTCTCAGCTCCAGAGTCATTTTGAGAACCTCTTAACAGTACCTTTGGCGGTGCAGGTGTTCTCTCTTCAATGATAAAAAGGATATATATGTATTTTAAAGGAACAATGTAGTTGGACTCACCTGTGTCGTCAAAAGGAAGAATAAAAACACTGTTTTTCTACTATCTCTAAAACGTAATGTTTTTATATGTGACAATCTCTGACATCCCGTGGGGACCATCAGAGTTTTCATAGCACAGAAATAAAAATTTTGTTACCCTGTGTCATTTGTGAAATGAGTGTCTCTATTTTTCCTCATCAAGTTTCTCGGTGCCCCGCGCTCCAGACCAGAGGGGCCCATCTGCCCATATGGTGCATAAGCCAGCATTTCCCAGGGCTGTCCTGGAACCCATGAATCTTCCAGCAATAGGGATTACCTCTCTTTGAAGCCCTAGCTAGCCCAGGATAGCTTTGTTCTGTCTATCACCTGGGCTTACCACCAACAGCAGGAAACCCACAGGGGAAAGGTGCCATTGTCATTCTAAAAAGAACCCAGGCATAAAAACCAAGAGGCAGCTGAAGGCATCTTTGCTATTCTGAGCTGCAACACTTGGACCAGAAGGCAAGGTGAGGCTCCTCTGGGGGCTGCCGGTGCTGTGTGCCCCTGGGAGTCACACCACACTCAGTGATGGAGCATGGAGACTACACAGCAGTTTTCTTGTTCAATTCAAAACCAAGTCTTATATTTAGGTGAAGCCTGCTTTTTTCTTTTAATTTTTTTTTGTCTATGAAATCAGCCATCTTGAATATTTAATCATGTCAGTATTAAGTTAGACTGTGAAACAAGACTTTGGAGAAAGGAAATATCCGTATGGTTTTTTAAGTAATTCAAGGGACAGAGAAACATAGAAGAATCAATTGTCTATGGCTAAACTTTATCTTTCCCATGCCCTATCTTCCCCACGTAGTTCCCTAACTCAGTTGGAGCCAGAAAAGAATGCCTCCTTGCCTTTAGATTCTCAGAGTGGGCGTCCAGTGGTGACCATTGGATGGCCTTCTTGACGTTGAACTCGCTGTGGAAGGGTTTATCACATCGCGGATATATGTTTATTGTGTTTCTCTTCCCTGTGCAGGAATAATCAAGCTGGGGCGGTGGAACCCCCTCCCGCTCAGTTATGTGACAGACGCCCCTGACGCAACCGTGGCCGACATGCTTCAAGACGTCTATCACGTCGTGACGTTGAAGATCCAATTACAAAGGTGTGTATGTCGGAGCGAGCATCTGTCTGCTTCCTCGCAGAGCCCCGGCGTGGATCTCAGATTCACTGTGGAGACCAGCTTGTCTCCCTTCATTTCCAGACAGCGGGTGAATGGAGGAGGGCAGTGAGCAGGGGGTGCTGCCCTGGGCATCATTATAGTCCACATTCCAACTGGTTTATGCTATCTTCAGAGGCACTGAACTGGTCACCCAGGGGCTGCTTGATCAATCATTGAAAGTCTTTAGGGCAGGGTAAAGAGGGCTCCACACAGCCCCTTTTCTCGTGCCTTCTCCGGGCTTTCTAGAAGCCAACAGCAGAACAAGTGTTGAAACATCCAATCCCTCTGCTGGCTGAGAGTTTTCTTTTTCCACGGCCTTAGAGGTCTCTCTCTGGGATGGCCACTCAGTGAAAGGGAGCCCATGATCTGTAGCAGGATCCAGAACACTGTGCACCTCCCAGCGTCTAGGGGCTCTCTGTGCCCTTTCCCTCCTAAGTGCCTGAGAGTTGTGCCTTAAGCCATGGGGTCCTTCAGTGTAAGATTTTTAAAGGTGCATTTTTGCTTTAGCGGGGACCCATCACCTCTATTCTTTTCTAGCAACTCTATAGAGTCTTTTCTAAAAGTTTATAATAATAATAATAATAATAATTTTATTAATTTATATAGTAATATTTTTATTATGTTATATATTATAGTAATATAAATAATTTATTATTATTATTATTATTATGATGATGATGATGATGATGATGACTGGGAAAGTAGCCGCTCTGAATTTTTCTGGGGAAGGTGAGCCTTTGTGCTTTGGCTTTGGTGGAAGTGTGCTGACATTTAACCTTAGGAAGACCCATAATGAATCTGTGCTGGGAAAGCCGTCCCTATGTCATTTCACCAGGGCTTCTAAAGAGCTGATGTTTAGAAACAGCACAGTGGCAGATTCCATGGGCTGTTAGGATGTGGGGTTCCGCCTGCTGGGGTGTACTGAAGTCTGCAGAAGGAAGACCACAGAAGGGACGCGTGTTCCCCTTCCTTCTCTCGGCAGCCTCCTAAATGTCCTACTGTGGCACTGGCAGGGGACCCGTGTGTCCCCTGCAGCCAGGACGGTGGCGGAGGGTCACCTGCTGCTCACTCTCTTGCCCTGTTTTTCAGTTGTTCGAAGTTGGAAGATTTGCCTGCGGAGCAGTGGAATCATGCCACAGTCCGCAATGCCTTAAAGGAACTGCTCAAAGAGATGAACCAGAGCACATTAGCCAAAGAATGCCCTCTCTCCCAGGTCAGTGTCTTCTCCGGGGGCATCTTCTACGAGCCGTCTCTGCGGTCACGCCGCATTTCCGGGGCCCATGGAGAGGGGGGTGCTTTCGGTTTCAGGGTAAAAGTCATCATCTCGGGGATGGCTTCCCAATGACTGTAGATCAGTGAGAGTGTATGGGAACACTGACACACGTACTCATCAGCTTTCCCACGGCGTAGCGTGGACATCGTGACACGGGGAGTTGCTTGAGTTTCATGTGGAAACCACTTGTACTGGTTAAGTGGCAGACTGAGGCCTCGTACCGGACCTCAGTTCCATAGTCGACATTCCCGGCAGTCTCTTTACTCCCTCTGCTGGGTGGGTCGCTATGCCCAACCTTTATGTCTTGGGGTGATTGGGGCATCCTTTGCCCTGTTGGTAGTTAGAGGTTGATCTTTACGGTAGAGACATTTGTAGAGGGTCGTTCTGGCTTTGTTTTTAAATAGTTACCACACAGAAATGTATCACTCCAAACAAGGGCAATCCCCCTTCCCCCTCCCCCCCCTTTTTTTTTCATGATCATACCCTTAAAGAACCATGAAAGTAAGAGGCTGAAGTGCTCCAAGGAACCAAAGCTAAGCCATATTTAGTCTTCCTGCTGGAACCTGTATGTTATATAAAGGCTCCGGTGGCTCGCATATGTTTTCTCGAACATCCCAGTGGCCTATAATTTACGAAAGAAACCCTGAAGACAGAAAAGAGGAGTGGAGAAATCTGTAAAAAAGGCAACGGTTGCAGCCTGTGTATTTAAAGGAAGTCATGATTTAGCTAGTCTGTCTGGCAAGGCTGCTGGGGAAGTACAGGTTGTCGTTGTGTGTCTGGGTATTTAAGTTTGATTTCACCTCTCTAAGCAGGCTTAAATCGGGGTAGCCTCTTCCTCATCCCGAATCTAGCCAGTCAGATAGACTGTCCCTACAAAGCAGAATGTGTTCCACACACAGCTTCCGCCATCATATTTGCTCTTAGTTTTTGACTACGAAACCTCGGGTCTTGAGAGTTTGGTTTATTTAAATCAGTAGAGCTGATTTTTGGTCTACTTTTTGGTCTGATGACGGCCAAGAGGGCTGATGGTACAGACCTAGCCTTGTTACCCGAAAGTCAGAAGGGAAGACACATCATCTTCAAAGCCACACACCTTCCACTGGTCCACAGTGTCTTGATGGAAGTTTGGCTGCGTGCATGCGTGTGTGTTAAAACGTCTGAAGGAAGGTTAGTTAGTCTCTCAACTCTTTTAAAGCTGTAGGTGAGCAGTATTGAGTGCAGTCTCAATGCTGTGTAGCTGTCACCCCTGTCTCTATAGCATTTGTCACTCCAGACAGCGTCTGTAACCTCTGAGCGATAATTCCCCATTCTTCCTTCTCACTGGGCGCTGGTAACTTCTCCTTTCTGTCTATGGATTTGCGTAGTCTCCATCCCAACACAAGTGGAGCTGGGAAAGACGGTAGAAGGCCACTCAATGACGTTGGACGAATTTTATAGGACAAGAGAATGCCTCCCAAATCATCCTTTGCCTTTAGTATGCTCAAAATTCCATAATAATCGTGTGTTTAGTGTGCTTCCTAGAACACCACAGAAGAGCTTAAAGGGGAAGAGAGAACAAAGAGAAGGCAGGTCACTCACTGCCTCCCTCGTGCCCTTACAGAGAACTTAGGGAAACAGGGGACATCATCCTCTTCCCACGGAGGATATTACTAGTAGAACGGCTACTGTTCACTGGGTTTTAGATGTTCTCTCCTAGCAGATACATTATGTATCTCCACCTCAGCAACTCTAAGGATCACACTGCTATTCCCACCAATCAACCCCACCCCGCCAGTAGGAGCACGGTGAAGGCCGTCTGATCTTTTCATCTTTCAGTCTGGGAGAAAGGTGGGCACTGAGGACCCTGTCTTTCCGAATGTGTCGTACAAATAGTGACCTGAGTGCAGGTGTTAATCTCTTCTTGTTTCCCATTGTTGGTTTGCTTCTGTTTTGAGACACGCTCTCTCTGTGTAGCCTGGGCTGCCCCAGGATATGTGGTGATAATCTCACCTTCCCTCTTGAGTCCTAGGATTAGAGAGGGGGTGTCCCATGCCCACTTCTATGAATGTTTAGGATGACTTTAGATCTCTCCCCTTTCTGGAGTTCTAAATTCCTTGACTCACTCATGAGGGACTAGTAGCTACCGCTTATCCGTCCATTATGTTTGAGAGACAGGGTCTCACTTCATAGCCTTGCTTTGACTGGTGTGGGATTTGCTATATATAGATCAGGCTAGCCTTGAACTTATAGAGTCCTCCTGCCTCTGAGTTCTAATGCCGCTGGGACTGAAGGCATGTACCACTATATCCATGTCCATACACAAAATTAAGGTAGCTCAGGCTAGCCTCAAATGTGCTATGTAAGTGAAGTGGGCTACACTTCTTAATATCCCCATTTCCTGTGCTGGGATTCCACATGGGTCCTACCACACGGACCTCCACTAATGCTTAAAACCACGAGGACCAGTGGGAGGATGCAGCAGGTAAAGGTGCCTATTGCCAAGCCTGAAGGCCCACATGACGGGAGGGAAGAACTGGACCCCGGAAGTGGTCCTCTCACCTCCATGTGCTCACTTATGCATGCACCTCCACACAAGCTGAATAAAGAAATACAAATGTAATTTAAAATCTAAGAGTGTGGGGGCAGGAGCTGGGGGGCCATGAGTGTAAGCAGGAGATTTCGCAGGGGAGTTTCTTTGTGGCACTTCCCAGGACTCCTAACTCTGGCCAGTGAGCATTCTCTTTTTGAGTCTCTAAGCCCTCAGTTTGGAAATTAATCCATACTTATAAGTAGGTGTGATATCTGTCGCCTGGGCTAGTTAAAAAATAAAAAATAAAAACAAGCATATTGAAAATTTATCCCAGGTACCTAAAAGCAAACTTATTTTTAGCCATGGCAATCTAGCTAAAATAAGTATAGCTGGCCATGCGTCCCTTAACGATGGAGATTCATCTTGAGAAACGAGCCTTCTGATGATTTCATTGTCATGTGGAGGGAGTGTGCTCACAAAAATCTAGGCGGGGCGGTCAGCCACTCAGTGTGGCCTTCGGATGCAATCAAGGGATGCTGCACGTGAGCAGGGCGTAAAGGCCCTCCAGTTGGAGTGTGGGATACGGCTTTCGGCAAATTTCTGTATCAAGAGGGCACACCCTAAAACAGGAAGAGGAGAAGGGTATAGTATTTGCATAAACCAGTACCAGACTTGTTTGTGATCATTGCCAAACACTGTATATTAATATAGAGTAGCTTGTGCTATATTTTTATAGGACTGGCAGTATAGTAGGTTTATCTGCCCCAGTGTGACTGCAAACACACAGGAATGGCGCGTTTAGTTACAGAAGTATAGCTCTGGGAGGTAGATGTTTTCTGCTCCGTTATAGTCTTCTGGGACCACTGCTGTCTGCGCTGTCTCTCGCGGAGCAAAGCATCCTTCCACAGCGCGTCACTACGTTGACTATGTCCAGTTCTCTTGCACTTGGATTAGAATAATTTCAAATCAGCTAGTTGGTTTGGAGGAGCTAGAACAATTCCAATATATTTCGATTCTCCAAATACCTTATTTATTTATTCTTAATTTTTTTGAGACAAGGTCTCACTGGGTATCCCTGGCTCTCCTGGAACTGGCTATGCAGACCAGGCTGGCCTCGAACTCCACTGGGATTAAAGGTGTGTGCTACCATGCCCAGCAAATACTAACTTATTTTATGGAAAAGATTCAGTGCTGGGAAAATATTTCGGTGTATAAAAGTACTTGCCATACAAGTGTGGGGTCCATTCCCCCCAAACCCACGTAAAACCAGGCATGATAACAGACACCTGTAATCCCAATGTTCCTAGTGTGCATCTCTCTCATTAAAAAAAAAAATTACTTCCAAGTACAAGTAGCAAACCATGTGTAATGCTAAGTTGGACTACAAAATAGCACACATGAATCTTTATATTTAAAAATTCACATTCATCATAGAGTTTTCAAGTGTTTCTGAGCTGGAAAGGTATTTTCAGCCTTCTGATTTGTGAAATACATAGTGCTATTCATAAAATAGGTGTACCTACAATCGCTGTTTACGTAGTTTGTAAGCCATAGGCTGCGTGCACAGCCTCAGGCTATGTACAAGTAGACTAGGCATGGGGGCTGCTTCCGGCACCTGTTATGAAGGCACCCTCATCATCTCACCTCGCTCATAACCCGTTACCGAGACAATCAGGCACGTTCTGTAAAAGCAGAGCCATTTTAATACCAGTCCCAAGAAGACAGTTCATTTTCAGTGTTAGAATATCAATACACACATCTCCCAGGTTATTTTCATCCACGCTGCTTCACAGTAACATGGTTATTCCAGTGTTGCTTGCATCCCAGGTTTGCCAAAAAGATACGGGGGCGGGGGGGGGTGGTCCGGAGACTCCAGCTGTGTGGGTTGTTCTGGACAGAGTAGAAAGCAGAAGAGATGATGAAGGCGGGGGGGGGGGGGGGGGGGGGGGGTCCGGAGACTCCAGCTGTGCATTCTGGACGGAGTAGAAAGCAGAAGAGATCATGAAGTGCGAAACCACACACAGCCTGGAGGGCAGTAAGGAGAGTTGTGTACAGTTGTGGGGAGGTGGAAAAGAGTTTAATCAATACTCGTCCCATTCTGCCTTCACTGTCTCACCTGGTTTAAGATGCTATTGCTTTGCGCCTCACTAGCTGAGTGCGGAATTCCTAGAATACGGCGGGGGGTGGGGGGTGGGGGGGGTGGGGGGTGTACCACCAGCAGTAGGGATGACCCTGCACTACCTGCTCAGGCTTTTCATCAGGGTCCCCTGATTCAGACTCAAATCATGAGAATACGATTGTCTCTTGTGCGAAGTGGGATAATCCCTCATGATGTACCCACCTGTGTTTTTAAGGTCTCACGTGTGTAACAGCTTACCTGTAGAAGTACTGAGTGTATCCTAGGCAGAGAGTTCATAGTAATAATCGTACCACAAACTCGGTGAAGTGACTCTGCTGTTTCAAAATCCCGTTAGCCAGGGAGGGTCTATTTCTTGCTTCCCTATTCCTTTGCTTTGTTCAGAATTGAAATCAACCCTGTGTTTGGTAGCAGCAGGGATACGCCTTCAACATCATCTAGGGAAGACAACATGACGGAGTTAGATGCCCAGCCTCCTGCTTTTTGAAGTTGTGTGTGTGAGTTTTGGTTCCCGGTGGTGGAGCCAGTGGGGGAGACCTCTTCCCTGCCTCCCCACAGAGGCTCAAAGTGGGGTAGCTGGAGCAGGGTCCAGAGGAAGGCTAGAGAGTCGGGGAGCTAGGGAATATCTGGGTTCAGAGTGATGCGGGCTGCAGCCTCCCCTTGTGGGCCAGGAAGAGTTACGGTAGCTCCAGAAAGTCCTTGGCCTCCTTCTAGACTAGCTTGTGAGAGGCAGTTCCACACTGACTCCTTCTGCGACCGTCTGTCCTGTGCCTTCCCAGAAGACAACGTTCATTACAAGAGAAAGAGACCGTAAGCCCATGTTTAGGAGTTCACACCTTGTGTGGCGGTGCCAGGCAGCTTTCATTAGGTAGCGTTCACGTTAGAAGTTCTATTATTATGACATTTCAGTTTGGCATTTCAGAATTTCATCCCGGTCCCTTGTGTGTTAGATTTCAATGACTCAGATATCCCACATCAGAACTACGTGAGACACGAAGAAGAAAGAAAAGGGGGGGGGGGGGTGGTGGTGGTGTGGAGATAGCAGCTAGTCACTCTCCTCAAGGTCCCGCTATCTAGGAAGAGCAAATGGATCTCAGTCCAGAGAGGGAGCTAGTGTAGCCGGTACTACACAGCTCTATCTGGCTACAAAGCAGGCCTTGCTGAGGCAGAGTCTTGAGGGAGCAGGCCAGGCCTTCTAAGTCTTAGGAGACGCTTGTGCTGGTGGGCTTTTGTGTCCTCGGTGCTGCGGTCTCAGTACAGAGCTCCATGTACCACCTTCCCTTAGTGATCAACTTGGAGGAGGCTAGCCCTCTGCGGTGTCGAGCTTTCTGTGGGTTGGATTAGAGACTCCTTCCTCCACCTCTGCATCAGGGAAGCGATTTTGACGTTTTAAATGCAAGGTCTGTCCACTGGAGTTGAACCTCCCGCTTAGACCATTGTCATCCTCTTTATGTCCCCCACCTAACGGAAATGTCAGCAGAGGTTCTAAGCTGGCCTGAACTCTTCCCTGTCTGGGGATGACATTTTGGAAACAAGACAAGACTTTAAAGGCATGATCTCAAGCCTCACGAAAGTCATTAGGGTCGTTTGAGTGTTCATGTTCATTTGCTGGTACACAGCATTTCGAGAAATCAAATCTGTATAAAATGGACATACGGTTCAGGTATGAGTTGGCTCGGACATACCGTACTGCCAGGAGGTGCCTCTCTATAGGACATTCGAGTCAAGATGTGCAATTAAAATGGAAAAGTCCCAATGCTGCGTCAGGCCATGCTCCCTCTAACCCCAGGAACCAACAACTCCGAGGGGAGAGGGGAGGAATAGTGGGAACCCTCACGAATGTGGGCGCTCAGAAAGCTTTAGCATAGACTCATTTTTGGTTGAAACACAGCCGAAGTGTTAGGTTCGGTTTCCCCCGGCTCGAAAATAGCACTGTCAAGTTTTTCATTTGGTGAATTTTCACACAAGTGATAATCACACGTTTCTATAAATTATATTAATTTAACTTATTTCCCTAAACGTTGTTCTGCAGTGCGTAGCACGGATGTTCTCAGATTCTTGGCTGTGTGAGCTTGTTGCAGTTGGAAGAGGAGCAGAGACATCTGAAAAACATTATCTGGATGGAGGGTGCTGGAGCGGCCGATGTCACCTTGTGCTCTGGCTCAGCCGGCTCAGCCAGTCCCTCCCTCTGCATTTAATCCTGCTTCCTCCATCTTTGATGGCACTGGCGGCTTGGCTTTTTTTTTTTAATTTTTTTTAATATTTTATTTTTTAGAAATCATCACTGTTATGCAAGTGTACTTAAGGGACAGTGAGCTCAGGCCATCCCGGTTGTTATTAAATGATTTAGTCTGCAGAGGAGTTGTGGCTTTAAGTTTAAAAGACAAAGGAGACCAATAGGCTGTAATGTGTCCCTTCGTGTCTTTAAAAACAGGGCTATTCATGTCTATGAAAACTAACCGGTGTCCCCCTTCTTTTCAGAGTATGATCTCATCCATTGTAAATAGCACGTACTATGCCAATGTGTCAGCAACCAAGTGCCAAGAGTTTGGGAGATGGTATAAAAAGTATAAGAAGATTAAAGGTAATCTCCGTTTCTTGTTTTTAAAGCCGATTTGTAGATCCTCGGGGCGATAAATTGTTAGTTTTTTTTTGACATGGATGTTAACTGTAGCTGTTGTTTATCATCTATGCACATGTATGTGTGTATACATACAGACATACAAAAGTATTGATGAAGGTAAGATTCACAACATCTCTGTCATAAAAGTCAACCCTTCAAAGTAAGATGGTAGTCAGGCTACAAGGAAAAGTTTTAGTGTGATCTATCAACTTCATGGTTTTCACCAGGGATGCCTGTAAAGGCGGAAGTCTTTGAATTGTATTTAGGAGTGTTATTTCAAGTTACATAACACTGATTGTTTGATTCCTGGTCAACAGCAGAAAGACTGCCAAAGCATCAGGAAAGCTTGTATTAGAAATAGGGTATCAGTGTGTTTATTGGAGACAAACCCTGAGGGATAAGGTAAGTTTTCTGTGGTCTGGCATATTTGAACTCAGATCTGGGCCTTTAACTCACGAAGTTCCGTGAACTTGGTCAAATCACTTAATCTCAGCGAGATTCAACATCTTCATCTAAACATCAGAAATGAAAGTATCTAGGTCCTTTAGTAGCCGTGAGTACTAAATAAGAGAATATTAATATAGAATCAATCCTAAATGACTAATAGCTGTGATGTAATAATGGTAGTAAGACTAGACATAATACATAAGAAATTATATGTAGCCTTGAAAACACCGCTCTTTTGCATAATGAATATGCTAATTAGACTGCCCGGCCTTTTAAATATATTAGTGTTATTTTACCTTTGCAAGCATGTTAACGTAGAAATCTTTTCGTTCTTTCCAATGAAGGTGAATGTGACTGGTCTTTGATATTTGGGCTACTTTTGGTGACACTGGTGTTGATGTCTGAGCGCCACACCAGTCTCTAACGGTGACACTGCCCATTAGACTGTAGTGTAGGTGTTCTCCGTCTTGGTGTCAGCTCACTACCCCCTTCGAGGGCCACACGATTCGGTGGGTGGGTGGGTGGATGTGAAGGTGGATTGAGCTTTATTATCGGCAGGCTTCCTCGAGGGAGACAGGGTAGCATCAAAGCAATACTTCTGGCGAGTGAGTGTCGGAGAGCTTGTTTACAAGATTGCCCTTGGGCAAGCGAGCTCTTGCTGCCGCAATCTCCCGGTTCAGATCGAGAAAAAGGGTGAGCATTGCACGGTGAACACGCAATTTAGAGGAAAGCAAAGCAGCCTCCCGGTTCAGATCGAGAAAAAGGGTGAGCATTGCACGGTGAACACGCAATTGAGAGGAAAGCAAAACTGGCGAGCTATCCAGAGGTTAAGTGTACTGCAAACCGAATTACGATCAGTTTCTCTTCAGCATAGTCTCAAATTCCTTGAGCCCTTTAGATTCTGGTTCAGGTGTTTGTCTTCAAATACTAATACTCACTTCTGCGTAGGAGAAGCTGAGTAAGCCCTCACTCTGAGGTGTCATTGTGTGGTTCAGAAGGGTTTCCTTCCTCCAACTGTCGCCTCCAAGTTCTTCTTTTGAAATTGGATTGTTAAGGTGCTTGAACACATCGACTTTGACTAAAAAATCAAAAGAATCGCTCAGCTTCAAGGTCGTTGGCTAGATCACATTTACCCGCTAGGCGGAAAAGGAAGAGAGCAAGTGCACCCTTTTATATGCTAGACTGTGATTTCAGCTTCAGCAAGCCCGGGAACTCTTCAATGGTGTGATTTCCCGGTTGCCACCACAGTGGGGTGTGTGTGTGTGTGTGTGTGTGTGTGTGTGTGTGTGCATGCGTGTGTGTGTGAACACTTACATTGTCTGCTCTTTCAGCGATTCAATTCTTTAAACTCTGATTTTTTTTTCAAGTTAGTAAATGCACAGCTAAATCTTTAAGTGCCAATCAAAGCAGACCGAGGCCTTGATTTCATCCAGTAGATCAAGCCTCCACATCTAAAGGGGCCAGGAGGCACCCTGTGTACACGGGTTGTTCAAGACACTAGCCATCGCTGTTGGGAAGTGTGTGTGTGTGTGTGTGTGTGTGTATCCGCGTGCGTGTCAGTGGGAGGAAGAAAGGAAGGTTACGGTATGTGTGAAGTAAATACAAGCTGCCACACACAGTTCAAGTGTGTTGATTCATCAGCCCAGGGAGTGGGAGGAAAAACAAAGAGCACATGACAGGTATAACGGCGCCGCGCAGAAAAATAAACACCAGAGAAGTTCATTTTGTTAACTTCCCACCCTCAGGATGCAGTTCTAGGCTCAGCACTTCTCTACCCATAAAGGCTTCTTGCCGAGGATAGATATGGCAGGGAGCCCCTCTCTTGATCCATTTCTCATGGAAGGATCATGGTTTGGTTTCAAAGATCTGCTTGGGACCTTCCCTTTTCTAGATGAACAGAAGTAACAATGTTCCAGTCTGGAAGTCGGTAGCAGCCCCAGCAGACTGGGCCCTTAGGCTTCCTCCTGAGAAGGCGGAAGTCTGAGAGGCCCGGTCCTCCCTGCCGTCCGCTTCCTGCGCTCACCTGGTTTCCAGTGTGCATGCACCATGGCTTGTGTTAGCTACAGAAGAAAGTCTGCAGCTAACTTACTGATGTCCTAAGCAAAATGTAGGCGACGTCGTTAAATATGTTTCCTATTATCTGCTAATGTCTGTTTTAATAAAACAGTGGGAACTAAATGGTTGCTTCTTAATCAAAACCATGACTTTCAAAACATAAGCTATGTGATTCTGTTACAAATTGCCACATCAGGATCTCCTAGGTCAACTCTTTTTTTCTATCCTCATAGAAATAAATAAACAGTAGAATAATTATATACTCTAAAGATCAAAGTAGAATAGGACTCAAACCTGGCAAAAATAAAAGTCTACTGGAAGGATAAAAAAAAAGAGATTAGATTGCAAATTCTATAGTCAATGCTTAAATAAATATGAGAAAAATGAACAATCGATAATTTGATATCATTAAAAACAGACGTGAACAGTGTATACAAATGGAATTGTCGAGATTCGGCAGTAAACATTCTAATGTGCGTTTCTGGATTTGTTGTTGCCCCATCTAAACTATTTATACTCACTCTCTATAAAGTCCTCAATTGGCTTGGCTTAGTGTGTTGACTTTATTTTCCCCAGTGATCACAGTCGGCCTTGCTGTGTTTACCTTTTCCCTTTAATCTCAAAGACAATCAAGGTTGGCCGAGACATCCTTGAGTTAACATCACCACGACTTCAAGAGAGACGGAGAAACAAGCCTGTATACTCTGGTTTCAAGGTCCTACCATGAACCTTGTCCCAGGACTTTGGGCTCCCGAGGAGCAGGGGGTGGTGGGTGGGCACGTTAGGTTGGTCTGCACCTCTTTGTAAAACTTGCCATTTGGCTGCTTCTGGGCTAGATTTTCAAGAGCGCTCAACTCTGCCGTGTAAGGAACACATTGTACCTTTATCCAGAAGGAAGGAGACGAGCCACTCAGTGTCCAGTGTTTATGAGCAATGGGCAGAGGTGACCCGTCGCCACCCAGACACAGTCATGCTGCTGTGTAATCGTTTTTAAAGTTTGGGGATTTATTTATTACTCTTATAGCTGTTTTTTTTTTAAAGAATTACCCTTTAATCTATTATTTTTGCAAGAGCTCCAGATACGAACTATCCCGTAACTTTTATGAAGCCCAAGGCAATTGTGTTGGTGGTACCACTACCGATCTCATTCTCTTACATGTTTGGCTGTGAACCTAGCCTTTCATGGCCAAGCCATCTCTCTAGCCCACCAATTCCACTCTCGTGCATTCATGGAGTCCTAGGCACAATGAAGACGTGAATTGACAAAGGCAGTTCACCTCAGGTTCGAGTGGATCCTTGATGAGTAAGTTCAAATGACTACATCCAAAATACTTTTTACGAAAATCGGAACGAATTGTCTTTCCTGGGATTCATCTCAAAGTCTTTAGTATGTCTCAAGAATTGAAGGGTCATTCAGAGTTCACACAAATACTGGTGGCTATTATAAAATTATTTATGTTGTAGAATAATACCACCAGAATGAATGGGCCTTAACCAAACCCTGTATTTTGGTTAGGGCTGAAAATCATGCCCGTCACTTTCCTCTTCTTAATCATTGCTCAAAAACATTCTGATTGCTAGTTTTCTTAATTTTATTTGTTTATTTGGGCCTATTTTGAAAAAAAAAATATTGCAAAGCTGGGAGAAAAGGGGGATTTCTAAAGCCAGTGTGAGCTTCCTCCAGTCTGGTTTATTCTAGTAATCAGTATATTATCTGACCCTGTCTAATCTACCCATGCAAGATCAAACGTCCAGGCCAGCAAAGCAGATAGTAAACAAAGCTCGGAGGAGGCTTTCAGGAAACACAAAGATCAGATGTTGAATGAAAATGGAACTCCTTGAACTAGTCCTCTGTACTCAAGTGGTTAAGTGGGTTGTGATTAAAAGAAATAAGTAATTATGATCATTATAGCCGAAATGATATAATGTTACCACATGTAAAGCACCTCCCGTACCCCGAAATGATTGTGTCATTTACAAAGCGGTGCCTCCGAGCTGAATGGAGAATCAGTGTCTCCTGACCTGCTTCGCCACGGTGCTGTCGGTAGCCAGGACAATGCCTTTAATCAGCTCCCGGTCCCCCTGCCTCTGCTGTTGCCCAGTGCTGATGAGGTGGAAAGGAACTTACTTTTGTCTACCTGATTCTCTTGAGTTACGGAAGGAATTTGCTTTCACCTTCGGGTTCTGAGGAAAGGTGGCTCACAAGGAAGCCGACATTATGTCTTTGTGCAAGTAATGCCAGCATCGAGTCCTTTGAGTTTTATATAAATATTGGAGTCATGACAATAGCAACAGCACTTCTCCAAACGACCATTTCCAGCATGCTGGTTGGGGGCCTTTGGAGGAAGAGCCTTGTGCATTTCCGTGTGTTTCCTGGTCACCCCGGCAGTCCAGTTGGCAGTGCCAGCAAGCAGAAAAAAATGGTGTGTGAGGACCGCTCTGAGTGCTTGGCCTGCGTA